TGGGGTGATGCAGGGCATCAGGCTGGGGGGATCATGGAGCTGAGGGGAGTGAGGCTGGAGCAGAGGGAAGATGTGAGGGAGGATACAATTTTACTTTGCAGAAGCTGCACTTTCCTTTTCTCCCCATTTATTTGCCTCCATCCCCAACTAGCTATTTGGCTGCATTCTCACCCTTTCACCTTTTCTGCACTACTCCTCCAGCACCCCTTCCGTTCCCAATCTCCCTCTCATACTGCCATCCCACACCCTCTCCTGCCACCAAACTCTCTTCCAGACCCTGCACTCCTCACCCTGTCCTGCACCCGACCTCCCGCCCAGATTCTGCATCCCTATCCAACTTGATGGCAGTCCTGTCTCACACATTGAGCCCCACATTTTTGTTTCCACCCCAGAGCCTTAGGGGAGTCCACAAAATCCACTTACTCTGGAACCCCAGAAAAGTAAATCTGGCTTATGGGAAGCCTTGTACCTCCATCCCCCCTGTCCCTTCCCCTCACCCCATGGGGGCTGGAGTGCCAGAAGAGTGAGGTGTCTCAGTTGAGGGCCATATCAGTGAGGGTTGGAGGGGTTTGGAGGTTGTTTTGCTTCTCACTTGTGTGGTCCCCAGCTGATTTTTCTGTGGGTTAGGGGCCCCCAACCCAAAAAAGCTTCCCCACACCTGCCATAAATAAAGGAAACATCAAAACCTTTTGCATGGGACATAATAATTTACTTTATTTAAAATGAAATTTAAAAAACTAACATAAGACAGTTAAAACGCTTAATCTGTTTAATAATTTAAATTAAACCATTCTCCCCAGCTGCAGCTCTAGCAAAATGGCATGGGTGTAATGTAATTAACATTGAGTTTCCATTAGCAACGGTCAGTCTGTGGAAGGGTTTGGAGAAGACAGGGCCTCAAGAAAAGAGTGGGTCTCAGGGAAGGGATGGGGTAGATCCTGGCTTGCCCTGGCATTTAAAAAGTGATCTTGGGTATAAAAAGGTTGGAGACCACTGTTCTAACAGTTTAACCCAACACATTGCAGTCAGCCTCACCTTGTTAGAGCACAGTTTAAATTAAACCTTCCTTGACTGATTGTTAAATGATTTTAAGTCCAATGTAGATATCCAATGACAATGTAGATCTGTAGTCACCAACCAGTAGATCGCGATCTACCAGTAGATCTCAGGGGCTCTAAGAGTAGCTCTTGAGCCCTCTCTGAACTGCGCACCTGCACAGTACATTTACATTAGATTTCCTCATGTAATGTAGGTGGGGCTTCAAGGAAGGGGCGGGGCAGTAGATCTTCGCCTGTTCTGAGACTTAAAAAGTGATCTTGGGTGTAAAAAGGTTGGAGACCACTGATGTAGATTGTCAAGCTACATGTTAACTATACTGGAAATACATAAGCAAAATTACTCAGTTGCATAAGTGTTTGCAGGATTGTATTATTCAAGTAACTATACTTGTAATCTCTCCTAAATAACATTGTATAATATAAAGGCCATCAAATTCTCTTTTTTTAATTATCAAGCTTAATATTTGTGTAGATAATGATTTGGATGTGTTTGTACTGTATTTTTAAAGTTGTGCATACAATGAAATGTATCTGTTTACAACTGAGGGTGTGTCTATACTACAGAGTTTTGTTGGAAAACGAACGTTTTTCTGACACTACTTTCGTTATATCCACATTGCAATTGCGCTCTTCCAAAAGTAAATTGAAAGAACAGAGGGGGGTTTTATGGCATTGGTAATCCTCTTTTTATGAGGAAGAAGCCTTTTTCCAAAAGAGCTCTTTTGGAAAAAGGGGTGTGTGGATGGTGAGGAGGATTTTTTTTTCAAAATAAGAGGTCTCCAGGAAATAATATAGGTGCCCTGGTGGACCCTCCATCCAAATTAATCAGGATTCTGTAGTTCCTGTCTCTTGGTCCCTCTTAAAGCTGCAGGCACCATGGACAAGCCTTGTGGCAGAAAGCTGGCCTGAGAGCAGCATCTCACCACATGGCTCTCCCTGCCACAGGCCTTGCCACTTATGGCCCAGCCTCAAGCCCCCTGCAACTTTCCTGGCCCTCACAGTGAGCAGCCCCAGGGATCCTAGGACCCACCCAGGGGGACCAAGAGGTGGACACCCTCTTGGTCCAGAGCGGAGATCCTGTCCCTCCTTGAGCTGAGTGGCGAGGAGGACACTTTGCAGGATCTCCGCTCTAAGAGGTGCAATGCCAAGATATTTGAGTATATGGCTGAGTCCCTGGTGGAGCATGGACACCCACCCCAGACCTTGGAACAGGTCCAGAGTAAGGTAAAGGAGCTCCGCCAGATATATGTCCAGGCCAGAGAGCACAGCTTGCACTCCGGGGGAGGACCCCACACCTGCCCCTACTTCGACAAGCTGCACCAGATCCTTGGAGGGTGGGGAAACGTCTTCCCCACCAATCGTGATGGACTCCAGCCTGGCTGGAGGTCACTTCAGAGGAGAAGCAGGAGGACCAGGGCCAGCCAGAAGAGGAGGAGACGGAGACAGTGACCCTGTCCCTGGAGCCAGTGCCTGTGAGCCAGGATGTCTCCCAGGCCTCATCAGATGCTGGAGAGGGATCTTCAGGTGAGTGGTCCTAGTTTGTCACACACACAGGGTGGGGGAGACTGGCACACAGGGGACGGGATATGAGTGTCACTCGGGCTGCTCAGACTGGACATAGTGCTGCAGTCGGCACACATGGGACTACGTGCAGTATTAGTGTGCAGCATGCGGATGCAGCAGGCAGCCCCTGAACATGGGTGGGATCCAGCTGCCAAGCTCAGGGGAGGCCACACATGTCCTGCCCCGGGGGGAGGGGAGGCAGTGCCTCACATGTCCTGCCATGGGAGGGGCCCTCCCAGCACCTTCCATGACTGGAAGCAGGCTACCCACAAGGACGCAGGCATGACCCCAGACACACTGAGGAGTGTCACACACATCACACTGGAATGCCTGAACGTGTGAGGCACCACCTGCTCCCATGGGCAGCACTGCAAGCTGCAGGTGTGTGAGGGGACACCAGGGAGGGCCAGGCTGCTCCTGACTCATTTGCTGCCCATAAGGGGATCCCACTGTGGCCTGACACTTCCCTGGCCTACTAGTCCATGGGCCCGGGAGGGGGGATTGGGAAGCAGGCAGCACAATCCCCTGGGCACCTCGGGGCCCCTGTGTGGGAACACATGGCCTTGTTCCTGGGACATCCCCCTCCTCTGCCCTGAGAACTATTGGTCGCTACTCACAGAGGAGGGCACAGCCTCAGGGGCAGTGTCTGCATTGATGACTAACCACTCTCCCTCTGTGTTCTCCACAGCTGGACCAGCTGGAACTAAGGGCTGAACCACATCACCAGAGCCAGCCACCAGAGCCCGGGGGCCCCAAAGGCACGACATGCAGCAGACCCTGGCACAGAAGATCTGCAAGGACTCCCAAGTGGCGAAACCACGCAAGGGACCAGCTCATGCAGCACTTTGATAACGTGTGCCACCATGTCACTCATGATGGCACAACTGCCTGCTGTTACTGCTCCTGGCTTCCACCCTCTCCTCCCCCTGCTATGCCCATTCCCCCTCTGCCTGCCCCCCAGGTGATGCCCATGTCCCCTCCTTCTGCCCCCCCCGCCATCCCTAACCCCGCTTGATCACTCCACTGTCATCCCTGGACCCACCTGATCCCAACTCCGACGAGGTCCCCGCACCCGAGGTGGCACATCTAGCTGCCCCCCTTTCCCTCCAGGTTTTGAGCCCCCTCCACCCACCTTTTCTTACTGTAAGATAAATACAGACTTCATTTTGTTGGAAACCAAACAGGTGTGTTTATTGAGAGGTCATGGAAGGGGCGAAGGGAGGGGTTGTTGTGCTTCCCCACATCAAGGTGGGGCAACAGGCACCTGAAACACGCCTTGAGGTGGCCAAAGGCACATTCCACCTGGATCCAGGCCTGGTTTAGGGGGGCATTAAACTGGTCCCTGCTGGGGTCCAGGTGGCTGGTATAGGGTTTCATAAGCCACAGCATGAGGGGGTAGGCCACCTCCCTCACAATGAACAGAGGTATCTGCACATTCCCAACTGCAAAGTCATGGAGGATGAAGAATGTGCTCACCTCCAGCTTGCCATAGAGGATCAAGTTTCTAAAGATGCAGGCATCATGTGCCCTGCCCAACCATCTGACAAAAATGTCCGTGAAGTGTCCATGGTGGTCAACCAGGGCCTGCAGCACCATGGAGAAGTAGCCCTTCCTATTAATATACTAGGCCACTTGATGTTCTGGTGCTTGGATCGGGATGTGAGTCCCATCTATGACTCCAGTGCAGTTCTGGAAAGACAGGGTGGCAAATGCGGCCACGATTGGGTCCAGGTCTCCCAGGTGGATGACTCTCTGCAGTAGGATCGAGTTGATGGCCCCTATGACCTGCAGAAGGAGACAAAGAAACACACAAAACAGCTGTTAGTTCGAATTAACTTTGTAGTGTAGACGTACCCAGATAGACTAACAATTCTACCCCTCTGAGACTAGTCCTACTAATAATCCCTATTCTGGGTTGCCCTATGGAACTCCCTGGCCTGTGTCTCTGCAAAGCTCCAGCACCAGCACTCGGAAGCAACTGGTGACCTAAAGCTCTGACTGAAGTGGTTCCGGGTAGTCTTTTATGCAAGAGAGCGTCCAATCAGTCTGGACGCTTTCTCGCAAAAAAGAAGATCACTTTTTCGATGTGATTTTGTGTGTGGACGTTCTCTTTCAGAAGAAGTTTTCTCGGAAGATCTCTTCCAAAGAAAACTCCTTCTGAAAGAAGCCTGCAGTCTAGATGTAGCCTGAAATATTTATTTCAATTTATGATCATGGCATGAGTTTCCTTAAAAATGTAGAATAAAGAAAAGATGCAAAATAAATCTAGCTGCAACTTTTCAGTTGATTTGAACTTTTAGAATGTTGCTTAAATGTTAAGGATATTCATTTTGATTTGTCAATTTCATTTCAGTTGTTTTTCTTATTTTCATTTTTTAGGACTTCAGTCATAAAGTCACTCTTTTGGAAGATGGCAAAATCAGAACGAGTGATAATAGAACTTACGGGAATCCAGTTCAGTGGGTTAAAGCAGTGTTAGGAAATGATATTTCTGTGAGCTGGAAGTATGTGTGGAATAAGGTAGGCTCACTATCATTTCTAAACAATCTCTTACGAACTACTGTATTCTTTTGTAGAAAAATAACCCATCTCACTCTTACACATGATATTAACTTTGTGATCAGATGATAGGGAATTCCTCTAGTGTGAATGTTCTAAGTCATAAAGTACCAGACATCTGAGAACTCCCTCAAGATCTGCCAGCACTTTTGCAGCATTTGTCCCAGCTCATATGGACATTTGAACAGCTTTGCCCATCTTTTATCACTGGCTGCATCCTTTTAAAATTGCATTTTGTTCCATCAAGACACCAGCTCTCTACAAAGTGGACACTGCAACTTCTCAATACCCTTGGGGTATGTCTGCACTAGCTCCCTAATTTGAACTAGGGAGGCTAATGAGGGTGACCGAAATTGCAAATGAAGCGTGGGATATTTAAATATTATTCCTCCTGGAATGAGGTTTAACAGCTAATTCGAATTAAGGGCTTTACTTTGAACTCCCGTTTCACTGCCGCGGGCAGTTATTCTGGGCTAGTCAATTTCCAAAATGGCAACTGCCTGGGAACATGCTAATGAAGTGCGGGATATTTAAATCCCGCCCTTCATTTGCAATTTTGGTCGCCATCATTAGCCTCCCTAGTTCGAACTAGGGGGCTAGTGTAGACATACTCTTGGATAGCAAATCACTGCATAGCTGCACCCTTATGAATGAGAGGCCAATGTTGCTTGCTTGAGAAGCACTCCCTCTATATGTATGTTGTATCCAGTTTGTATAAATGAAGCTCTGAGCATCATCTAGCCCAGGCCTGGACAAAATACCCTCCCTGGGCCAGATTTGGCCTGCCAAGCTGCCAGAGCTGGCCCACGGATGCAGTGTGGAGTCTCAGGCAGATTCCCTGCCTGCCTTCCACATGTTGCTGAGAGAAGCTGCTGCCATGTTCTGTTTGAACAGCTGCAAGCCTTCATGCACTGCTCCTGCCCCAGCACAATCCCATTGGCTGGGAGCCATAAGGGATCTGTGAAAAAAGGCTTTCTTTCTCAACAGATCCCCCTCTAGACTGCCGCTTTTTGCTGACAAAGTGCTGAGTCTGCAAAACGCGGTGGCCATTTTTGTGCAAATTAGGCACGGGATATTTAAATCCCTGCCTCATTTGCAATGTCGACCTGCCCAATCTGCATCCCTCTGCCGACAGACGGATGCAATCTAAACATATCCATTCATATTTCAGCTCTATTTGATCTTAAAGATAAGATTTTTTTAATACTTGAGTTTGTGTCTTTTTATTTCTTTACAATAAATAAGGCTTGAAGAGGTTAAAGCATTTTTCCCGCTGATGTTTTAACTATAT